AACAAGCGACATTGGTACGGAAGGAGGCGTGAACTTCCTATTAAATGCTCACCCGCGGTGCTCTATGATAAGACCGTAAGGACTTCTGGGAGCACCTAAATACATACAAAAAAAAAAAAAAAAAAATTTCAATGAGGAAACATTCCACCCAACGTGGAGACCAATTTAATTTACTCAATTATTGTTTAATTAATACTTACTAAGTTACAACTTTTTTTTCACACAAATTTTGAGGTTTGAGATTTAGAAATTATAACTGCTGCTTGAATTTGCAAATGCTTTTTCAACAAAAAGAAATTTCTTAATCATTTTGAGTGCAAAACGCATTTTTTTTATTTTAGTGTTATGTTGAAAATCAAAACTGCTGTGTTTATGGAAACAAAAATAAAAATAAATACTATACACAACAATTTTATTTTATAATGTTGATTGGTTTATAATCCCACATGATCAACGGCTCTAATTTTTCAAAAGATAGAGCCTGTCCCATAGCTACAATTGATCCTGATACTATTTGTAAAATACTTATTTAATAACTTATTACTATCTAAACCATTTGCAACAGTGTATACAATAAAGTCACATGTTTAGAGATTATAAATTTAATTTTAATTTAAACCCAATATACAGTAAATTCAAAAAAATAAAACATAACAAACTCCAAAGTTTTATATAATTAATGAAATTTTTATATTAAATATCATCTGTTTATTAAATGCAGGGGCGGATCCAGGATTTTTTATGGGTGTTGCCTGTTTTTTTCGAGTTGCCAAAATAGTTGACGATATTTTTTTTGTAAATCCCTTCCCCGGGCTAGCGAGGAGGGGGGGGGAAAAGAGGAGTTAAAAGCAGCATCAGTACTTTATTATTACTTACTGGGCGTTGTTCTCAACTACCCATATAAAACAAAACTAACAACAATGTTGCCTTGGCTATTCTGTTCATAAATTAGACATTTTTTACTTGTCTAACCTATTTAACGAAGTGCACCAACAAGAAGGTAAGCCATAGGGCTTTGCACTCCATCTGTAAACTGTCATGTGGCCTAAGATTAGCCCTCCATTTCTGGATTCTTTCCTTTTCTTGATAGGCAGTTAGACTAAATTTTTTTTAAAGTTTTTTTTTTAATTTTTTATGTTATTTATTCTAATTTTCATTAAAAATAAAATAAACTTAAATATAAAATAAAATAAAAGAATATAGTCAATAAACAAAAAAGAAATTAATATTAGGTAAAAACCAACTCAAAGCGTCGTTCCCCTAAAACAGAAAAAATATTCAAAACTCTTTCTACATCAGGAATTATTTCTTGATGAATAGATATCAGAGATAAAGAATTAAATCTTGACTCTGTCATGCGGCTTTACATATAAGTTTTCAGTCTGCGTATAACAGAAATTCTCCTCTCGTATTCATATGTAGTAATTAGTATTGTTCCCATTATTAAAAAACCTTCCCTAATGTTTGGAAAACCCCTCATATCGAGAGATTTTAAAGTCTCTGTAATAGTGAATGGGATCACAGATTGATTGTTCCAAAATGTTTCCCACAAATCTAATTCAGCATGAATTGATGTAGGATGAGGTATATCCTATATACAAAAATGCAAAAACTACATAAAATCTAACTTCCAAAAACATTTTTCTTTTATTTTTTTACAACAGTTGCAGGAATACCAAATAAACCTTTGTAAACAACCATATCACTTTCATCAAATCTATCTTCTAATTCATTAATTAAATGATTTAGAAGAGGAGATGCGATGGAATATTTGAAATAATCTGAAACTGTGCCAGAGGGATAATCATCTTTATAAATTTGTCTGCCACAGAGCTTTGGTTTAACTTCTGAAACATCAAAAGCCTTAGCTAGATCAAGAGCAATTAAGTACCATTCGTTATGATAGACATCAATATATTTTTTTTAAATCTAAAATTTGAGTTTTATAAACAATTTATTTCATTACACTGTTGTGATATATCAAACGCTTTAGTTTGAAGAACAACAGCGATGGCATAGAAGTAGTCCATTATTTGTTTGGTTAAAACTAAACTTACAATAAAAGATAAATTAGTCATACGATTTAAAAAACATGAAGCTTTTGAAGAAGTATCAATATTATAACTCTTACCCTCATTGTATGCCATTACTTCCATAGAATGAAAAACGGATATGTAGCTATCAAAAAAAAACATCCAGACCTTTAAGTTTCTGAACCCATCTAGTTAGACATGTATCGATTAATTTTGTTTGACCAGGAAAAATGAATTTATTGAGACAGCTGGCACGTTTAGGTGATAAGTTAAAAAAATATGATACATCTTCGATTTGACTGATTTCTAACACTCTGAACATTGATAAATTTAATTCTTAATGAAATACCTTTTAATTTACCAGACACTGCCCCAGCACCATCATATCCTTGACCTCTACATTTTTGGAAATCAAGACTAAGATCATCAATTGCAGAAACTATATTTTGCGCAAGACTAAGACCAGTCGTACCAGATTTACATTCAATGAACCGTAGAAAGTCTTCACAAATAACATTATCACAGTCAATGTATCTTAAGACTAGAGCTGTTCAATATTAGAACAATCAGAGGCTCCACCACACTAGATAGAAGAATAAACTGACTTTTTTATTAATTAGAACTTCTTAGATTGTTTTTCCACAGCATTCAATAAGTTCGTTTTGTGTGGTTTTAGATATATAGGTTGCATATTTAGGAGCAGAACGAATATGGTGCTCAAGAAATTTATCACCTGCTTCAATGCGAAGCAGGTGTTTTTACATGCTTCTCCGATCTCTGGATGATACTTACTGTCATCTTGATGATCTCGAAAAGCAATATCATTGCCGAAAATAATTGTCTTTATAATTGGAATTAATTTATTTCGATTACTTATAATAAGTTTTTTTCTAAGATTATCGATGTCCGATCTAGATTGCAGCATGCATTGACATTTGATGAAGTCAACAATTATAATTGTGATTCATGTAAGCACAAATTGCATTACCTCATATTTTAAAAAGTTTTCGAATGAAGTTGATTATTGGGGTATTGTTTGGAATTCTGCTTTCCAACAGTGTACATGGAAGGCAGTATGCTCCATCTTCAATTTGTGAATAAGCTAACCAGGAGTATACAAGTAGTCATTTATGTAAAAATGATCGTTTCTTTTTTTCACCAGAAACAGGAAAAACAATAGACGATATAGGAATAAATATTTTATTAACTAAATCTAATAACATTGAATCATCTTTGCCAGTAGATAGTTGTCTACCACGCTCATAGTAAGTAGAAACATCATAAAAAAGAAGGCTTGAAGACTGATCTGATGAACAGGGAATACAATTAAGTAAGATTGAGTTAGGAGTAATGTCAATATTTATATCTATAATTTTAGTTTCATTACCTATACCAAACTTTATGAAAATTGAACTAATGATTTTTTTTTTGAAAATAGATTTTTAAAAGGTTGACAAGATAAATTAAGAACCTTAGTGGTAACAGAAGAATGCGATATAACACTTGGCAAAACTGAACACAATCCTCTTTTTAAATCATCTTTGACAAATTTCTTTGAGCATAAAACTTCTCTTTTCACAATAGGGACAAAATGATTTAGTGACTACATATCTTTATCCTTGGAAATAGAGCGACAATTAGTGTTACACCATAAAATACTCAGAATTTCTTTATTTGTTTTATGATCACTACGTGGGTATATACATACACTGTAGATAGTGCAATTAAACAAAGAAAAAAAGCAAATTTACTGTTTCTGCAATTGTTATAGGCTTCTTTTTTTATAAGTTCAGCAATATTTATATCATTTAATTCTGTAAATGTTTAATTATAAATAACTTAAATGAAACACATGCCATGAAAACACTAGAGAGGTCAATAGAAAATAGTAACTGTCTTTACAACCCTGCTGCTTTTTTAATAAACTTTTTTAACAATTCTTGACAAATAATGTTTAGTTAAATATGTTTGTTTTAGTTATATTTAATATATATATATATATATATATATATATATATATATATATATATATATATATATATATATATATATATATATATGTATATATATATATATATATATATATATATATATATATATATATATATATATATATATATATATATATATATATATATATATATATATATATATATATATATATATATATATATATATATATATATATATATATATATATATATATATATAAAGTGTAATTTGTAATAAAAACCACTTATTAGCTTATTTTTGATAAACTTCAATTTATTCGAATACTTAAGGCTTTATGCGAATAATTAAGGCGTTATTAGAAAAATTAAGGATTCATTTTTATATATAAACGGCACGGAGAGAACCCGTTTGATCAAACGTTCCTGCAACGTTTTTTTGTTGACTACCGGAAATTCGGGTCAAATGAATCCTGAAACAATGATTTTTTTGGCCTTTATTACGGCAAGCAAAATAAATACATTGCTGTAACGATTGATTAAAAGGGTTCTTTCGGTACCGTTTACTTTAAAAAAAGAATCCTGATTTAATAACGGCGTTTTGAAACATGACGGAGGAGAGCTAAGTCTGAAACATTGTTATAGCCGTGCATGTTTTTCTATGAAGGCTATTTTTTTTTTTAAAGAACTCATATATTCATATTAGTATACTATAAATTTAATTTTAGTCTTTTTTAGATTATGAAACGGAATTTTTTATAACTTCTTAGAATATTATGGGTGAATCTTGGGCAACACAGGATACTCCCTAGATTCGCCCCTTAAATGTATTTATATATATTCAAAAAAAATTATTATAAATTATTACATAATAAATTGCGTATTAGAACAAAAAAGAAATATAAATTTAAAAAGATAAACATTTTTATAACAGTTGTTAGGTCGCAGTTTTAAAACAATATTAGTGCACCTGTAAAAAGTCAGCTGTTGTTTAATCAGTTAAAAATGAACGACAAACTATGTAAACTTGTGATTTCTTAACCCACTTCTTATACTCTCATTAAAAGTTTGTAAATTCTGTACAGACTTTGTCTATTAATCCGCCTCGTAGATACAAAAATATAGAAAAAACACAAGAACTTCAACCATTATTTTTGTAGACGCGTATGCAATAGACAAGCTAAACACCCTCATCATCTTATTCAAATTGTTAATAATATCAGACCATAATTTTTTGCGGTTGTTAAGTTGCTTTACAGTTTCTCCACATGCAAGCGTCGCATGTTGCGTTATAATATAAGTTAATGTCTCCACAGTACATATGGTAAGTTTCCTTTGCAACGCATGCGTAAAAGTAGCTTGTGTGAACTATATCTGCATAATTTCCATCCTTTTCCATATTTTTGCAGAAATCTTTTACATCTAGTTAAAAAAAAAAGAAAAGAAAAATGTGTATTCCACTCAGCGGAAAACAAAATGTATATATATAAAAAATAAAAAATTTATATATATAAAAAAAGCTATTATTATTCTTAATCTATGCTTATTATAAATTTCCATATTAGAATGTTTATAAAGATTTTGAAAAAGTAAATGCAGATTAACACATGAACATGGTTTGTTACAGGCAAGAGTATTCCACTCAGCGTATTACGCGACTTAAATGTTTTTAAATTAGGCCTGTTTTATCTTATAAAATTCACAGAGAAAAATATACTCAAAAAAATAATACATAAAAATAAACTTTCTAAAAAAGTGAATTCTATTTATTTATTTTTTTAAATTAAATTATTATTATCTTTTATTAATTTACTTAAAAAAAATAACTTTTAAATAATTAACGTTATCAATAATCAAAAGTTTATTTTTATTTTGGTTAAAAAACGGATTTTCTTTTTATTCCATATTATTACAGCCACAAACTCCAACCACAAATTCCTACCGCTTAAATAAATTATAACTAATGTTATGTTCTGAAACGATTCTATGAATAAAAGCAGACGGGTTTAAACATTAAAACGTACTCAACCGACTTCTAAAAATAAAAAAAAATAAGGTCCTCAAAACAAAAGTTTACCCAAATGAAACTAAAATTTACCCGACTCGCCGATTAAAATAGTAAAAAAACCGACAATAACTTGAAAACCACCTTCTATGGAGAGGTGGAAACCCACCTACACACACCCTTAAAATTGCCTCTGGTAATGTTATACTATTAGTAGAATAGATAAAATAGAAGAATACTTAGAATTTTGTTTTCTAACCTGTCCCATTTCTCCTCAGCGGGTTGATAAATATTGTTACATTAAAAAGTCAATGCCATGAGCTTTATTTGATTGTTAAATGATGAGTTTTATAATTATTTAAAATGAAAATCTATAGTGAATAATGAAAATTCATTCATAATGTGAGATACACTTTACATTAAACTTATAATAAAGCATAACTTACATTTGGAAATGGCTTATACTTAAAGTAAAAAACCGAAAAAAATACACTGTATACATTTGGAAATGGCTTATACTATAAGTAAAAAACCAAAAAAAATACTTACAATCAGTTGTTGGAGCAGGTTTAGGAGATTCTGTTGTAAAGCAAATGTTTTCAGAATCTGCAATTAAATATACGTTTATATATATATATATATATATATATATATATATATATATATATATATATATATATATATATATATATTATATATATATATATATATATATATATATATATATATATATATATATATATATATATATATATATATATGTATATATATATATATATATGTATATATATATATATATATATATATATATATACATATATATTCACTTATAACAAGATGTCGCATTTTTGAAAATAATTAAAAAATTTAAAAGATCTTTTCAATTTGAATGATAGCTTATTAAAGTCGCAAATTCGGGACGGCTGAATAAGCGCGAATTTCATAAGATTGAACTGGCATAAGTGCGAATTGCATAAGTGTGAACTGGCATAAGTGCGAATTGGCATCAGTGCGCCAGAAGATTTTTCAAACCTTGGCAGAAGTGTGAATTGGCATAAGTGCGAACTGGCATAAGTGCGAAGCAGTTTCAAAAACTGGCACAAATGCGAACTGGCATAAGTGCGAATTGGCATAAGTGCGAAACACTAATTTGCACTTATGCTAATATTCGAAATTTTATTCGGCGCACTTATGCCAGTTTTTGTAACTGCTTCGCACTTATGCCAGTTCGCACTTATGCCGATTCGATTACTTGCAAATTTATTCGGCGCACTTATGCCAGTTCGCACTTGTACCAGTTTTTGTAATTGATTCGCACTTACGCCAGTTCGCATATATGCCAATTCGCACTTATGCCAATGTTTTCAAAACCTTTTGGCGCACTTATGCCAATTTGCACATATGCCATTTCGCACTTATGTCAGTTTTTGCAACAGTTTTCGCACTTATGCCAGTGCGCTCATATGCCAATACGCGCTTATGCAGCCTCCCGCACAAATTCGAGGTAAAGTGCTAATGCAAGTGACTCATTTTGCATAATGTATTTTACTTTATAGATAAGTGTTACAGATACTTATACTTTATAAATAAGTGTAATTTTTTTAAGATATTTTACTATATAGATACTACATGCGAGTGTTATACTTCGTATGTAAGCTTAGAAGCTTATTTTTTAGCTTTTTGTCAATTATCATTATGGTAAATTTTGCACAAGTCATTCTACTTAATATATCCCAATGGTTAATAAATGCTGCTATTCGCTTTATAGTATTTCAAATTTAAATAAACAAACTTTTTTCATCTTAATAAGGTATTTCTGAAGTTTTTGACTAAACGCGCGTCATCTATAAATTTCGTCGTTTTTCACGCGCAACTTGCTTTTTGATGTATGCTTTTTTTTTTCTTTCACTTATTTTTTTTTTAAAGGTAATTTAAAATTTCTGCAAGAAATTTATAGATATTCATAGTCTGTATAGTTAACAAAAACTGCATTTAACAGGCGCTGTTAAAGACGTGTAGAACTTGTATTAAGACGCAATAATGCGTCATTTAAACGTCTAAAACACGTCGTGTGACCACTGGGATAGCTTTTGCAAAGGACACAAAAGTATTTAATTCACAATAAAATATAAATGCACCTTTCAATATATAAACAACAGTAAAAAAGTAATAAATTATTTTATAAAAGGATCTTAGAACTTTCTAAAGTTCAAAACTTCAATAAAGGTAACATATGTGCGTGGGTGTGTGCGTGTGTGCGCGTGCGTGTGTGTGTGTGTGTGTGTGTGTGTGTGAGTGTGTGTGTGTGTGTGTGTGTGTGAATGCTATTAGAATAATTAAGATGTTAGGTTTCTCTACTAAAAATAATTTGCAAGTAACTTTAAAACTAATTCAGTTTTTAACATTACCTAATAAGTTGTATTCGCAAGACTGACATTTTTCTGAAAAATACAGAGGAGGGTAACAAACTCCGCATCGGAAATCAAATCCATCAGCGTTGTTTGATGCGTAACACGTTACAAATGAACCGGGATTTAATGGATTCCGAAATGATCCTTCACGAAATCCGCTACTAGTTTTACAAACATTTCCAGTACCTAAATAGCGATAATATATATATATATATATATATATATATATATATATATATATATATATATATATATATATATATATATATATATATATATATATATATATATATACATATATATATATATATATATATATATATATATATATACATAAATATATATATATAGATATATATATATATATATATATATATATATATATGTATATATATATATATATATATATATATATATATATATATATATATATATATATATATATATATATATATATATATATATATATATATATATATATATATATATATATATATATATATATATATATATATTAGAGTAATTTTAAAAATTTTTTTTCATAGCAACTTCCCATTCTTATTCATCAGCTAAAACAATAAAATTGAAAAGTTTGAGGCAATTTGAATCATTTTTAGAGGTTGCACAAGATCCTTAAACATCAGACAAGTACCTATAGAGACTTGTCTGATGTTCAAAGATCTTTTGATCTGTGATCTATTGATCTGATGTTTAAATATTGTTTTGAGATCCAACATAATATACTTTTGAAAAATAATATTTATAGAAAATTTTAAAAATAATAATTACTATATATAGAATATTAAAATTTATAGATCATAAACTGTCGTTTTTTAACAAAAAAAAAAAATGTTTTAATTGTTTTTTTCTTCAATTTTCATGACCGTTTTAATTATTTTAAAACAGTTATAAAAAAACGAATTGAAGAAATAAGTTCATGTAATCGAGTCTCATAACTTTATTAAACTTGATTGCATGAGCTTGATCACAAGATAGTGTTATTTATGCGTATTATCCATATCGTTTAATTTTTGACAGTCATTTGAGTTGTCTAAGAGCCTGTGGCTGCAAAACCTACGTTATTTTATAAAGTATAAAATACAAGTAGAAGCGATGGTTAACTTTGTACTTTAGATCATAATGACTTTGGCTGGTAACAGGTACCAAAGGTATTTAAAATACAAGCTAAATTACGTCAATTTATATAGCGTGATTTTCTTATAAGTTTCTTTGTAATAATATTAGAAATCATGCCATCTATTGCCAAACACTCATTATGGTGGTAACCCCAGACACTCTTAAACTTTATAAAATTGTAAGTGTGCTTACGTTATAGTACAAAAGTGAAAGTTTATACATTTTACTTGAATAACTATTAGAATATGTGTCCTCGTTAACCAGACATATTTGTCAGTTCTAACCCCAAGCTAAACAATCACTATTTAAAAATTTTATATTATTAGTTGAACTTCTTTGAATATAATTACAGTGACACACATTGACTAAATGTGTAAAGTATTGACTTAAACTTATTAATAAAAAGTTAGTTTGTAGAAACAGCCAAGATAAAAACCAAACCGTTAATTTCAAAAAAATGTTACACTCGTTAATTTCAAAAAAATGTTTTTTTAATCTTTCATCATAAATTAGTTAAGAGTATCCCGAACTTTTTGTTGCTCTACGTTTTATTCTTTCAATAAGATTATTATCTTTTTTCTTAAATGGATTCTAAATAGCATAAATATATTAAAGATGAGGGAGTATTAACGAAACATAAAAACTTAACTGAATCAATGGTTAAAAATAAAAATGTGTCGAATAAGACCTAAAATTCTATTTGCTTTATAAACGCAAGCAGATATATGATAATTATTTTTTGATCATTTTTAACATAACACCAAGGTTGTTTTCACTTCTACAATGTTAAACTTTTTAACATTTTTGTTTAATTTTGTTCTTTGTGACATCCATAAATTTACATTTTTCTATATTCAATTGCATACTTCAGTCATTAAACCAATTAAAAATAAAAATTTATGTCATCCTGTAGTCATTACAACTCTTATCAACGATTATTTTGAAATTTATCTGAAAGATCGCTGGTGTAGATTAAAAAAAATGATTTTTGGGTTACACCACTTGAAACACTAAGCCATGTAGAAGCAATATCTCCAAGAACAACTCTTTGCCTTCTGTTTCATAAAAAAGATTCAACCCATTTAAGAATTAAGGCCTCAGCAAACATTTCATTTAGATATAGCATACATTTCAATTTTGATACAGCGTACATTTCAATTTTGAAATGGCGTACATTTCAATTTTCAGTACAAGTTTTCTATGAAGAACTTTGTCAAATGCTTTAGAATAATCAGTAAAGAGGATTCTAATGGGTATTCTCGATCCATCTATATTATCGCTAAAATAGCATCGAACCAAAACAATAAAACCAAATGTTCATCACTTCTAGTGTATTTTATATATATTGAACACCCAAAATCAAAACACGTCTTATCTCTCTGATAGCGGTAGTCAAAAAAAAATTCATTTTAAATTTAAATGCTCACAGTATGTCAGTGATGAACAACACTGCTGGTTTCTATGATCTATGAATGACATCCAAAAAATGATATTTTTACAGTTAAATTACTGAACGAATCCGAAAAAAAACTTAATCAAACTTACAAAGAAAAATTGTAAAAAGTATTTTCTTGTTAAAGCTATTTTTTTCGGTGTTTTGTAAACACGAGTTGGTGAAGATTTTTACCTCATTAATTTAGATAAATGTAGCGTTATTCTTATTTTCATTATTTTCATAAGAATGACGCAACATTTGTTTAAAGTAATGAGGTAAAAATCTTCACAAACTCGTGTTTACAAAATGAGAGAAAATTGGAAATAAAGTAACATGCTTGGAAGTAATATAATATGTTTGTTATAAAAGATAAATGCTGGAAACCCAGATGTTAGAAAACTTATAGGGAAAACGGAGTAAGATAGCGAATGGGGCAAGATAGCTTTCATATAACATTATTCATATAACATCTTAACAAAATAAATTAAAAATGGGTGAAAACTATATTTATATCATGTATTTTAAAACGCTAGTTGGTTTTTTTAAATATTATTAAGGCAATTTTATACGCATAAATTTATTTTTTGCGCTTAAAAAAATTACCACCTGTTTCGGTTATTCATAGCATGGTGTCCTTCAGGTATAACTTTTTTAGGTTAATTTGTTGCAACGCGTGTTTATTTTGTGTTACTTTAGAGCAATTAGTAGTTTTTAAAATTTTATAAAATTAGAGGTATAAATTTAATTGCAAACTAAAGATTCATGCAGGCAATGAATAATTAAGATAATATAAACATTCTGACAAAGTATTATAGCTTCATGCCTGATAGTTTTGCAATAACTCAAGCCTTTCAAAACGTTCGCCATCTTGTCCCGTGTTTGCCTACTATAGTTTGATTCCTGGGTGCCTCAAAACAAAAAAAGCCACCTGTCTATTGCCTCAGATAAAAAAAAGAAAACAGAGCTGTACATACAAAGCCGTTCTCTTAATTTTGTTAAACTTACTTTTTTGTTAGCATCAATAATGGCAAATCAAATCAAAGGTAATCAGTTTTTATCAGTAATCTTAAAGCAAAGATATTATTACTTTACAATCCCAAAATACACATATGAAATACTTATTTAAATTATGCTTTTTTACAAAAAAAAAAAAGAGTACAAAATAACAATGTGTTTCATAAAGTAAGTGTGTACTACATTGTTTTATCTCCAAGTCAGGATTTAGTAATTTAGAAACCTGCACATTAAATGTGTTTAAATAACTACTTCCAAGCTTTGTTTTGATCTTGTTTTGTTTACATTTTTTATGTTATGTGATATCAGGGTTCATTTTAAACTTTGAATTTTTTTTTTTTTTTTTTTTACTATTTTTTTTTAATTTTAGGTGCCTTAAGAAGTCCTTGCGGTCTTATCACAGAGCACCACGGAAGAGCATTTAATAGGAAGTTTACGCCTCCTTCCCAACCAATGTCGCAAAACTTGGGTTTGAACCACGGATCTTACGTTTTTGAGGCAAGTGCGCTACCACTGCGCCGCGGCTGCTTTGATTTTCTGAGTTTAGGAAAACATGGTTATATAAAAATTTCTGATTTTTAGATAAAAGTTTTTGTATTGATAAATTAAAAAGCTCAAAAATTGTTAATATATATATATGTAATTTTAAATTTAGGAACAAGTAATTTACTTACAAGCAGGTGTTGGTATAGGTGTACCTGTTGGCTGTGGCTTTGGACAATCAGGACAGTTAGTATTACCTGAACAAAAAATGATCAACAAAATTATAATGAAATTTTAAATTTTTTGAATATAACAACTTTTTTAAGCTTTGCATGTGCTTTTTAAGAGAACCTTTAAAAAATATCTTACAATTGATCATTGCCATGGCAACAAATAAAATTAAAACAAAAGGTATTTTCTCCATTTTTTAACAAGTTTTTTATATAGTTTATTTTAAATGTTTTGTGTTACTTTCATTGGGATAATCTATCAAAGTACCATAAAAGCAATTTAAGTTATGTAAAAAGATATAGTTATATAATTAGCAATAATTATATTTTACCACACTTTAGAACTGATGTTACATAACAGTTTTCCTTTATTACAAAAAAAAAAAAAAGAAAAAGTACTGTATTGATTAAGTTTTTAAATTGTAATAAGAATTGAGATTATGAAACGGAAAATAATGACAGGAAATAATAAATAACATACAATAACAAATGTAGCCAAGATTATCGAGAGGTATAAGAAAGGTGTAAGAGTTTTTAAAGGTGTAAGGCTTTTCTTATGTAAACTATATATTTTGACTGTGTTTATAAATTATTCCAAAATTTGTATAAGTATTGCTCAATATATTTATATTAAGATTCGAATATTAAAAAAAAAAACTTTGTTATTAGGATAAATTATTTTAAACATTCATTTAAGCAATATAGTTTATCCGATAATTTTTGGCACTCAACATGATATAAAACAAAAATGACTTTGATACAATCTAAGTTTGAAGCTCACAGGAGTTGTGAAGCTCACAGGAGTTTTCAGCTTTCGTCTATTAAAGTATAAGCATAAATATATTCAAATCATTCTAGCGCAATATTAGCTAACTTTGAAAATATTATTAATGAATGTTTTTAGAAAAGCAAAAGTTTAAAATAAATTACTTTGCAATTTTTAAGATATCTAGCTAGATACAGCTACTAGGTTTAAAATTATTTTTTAACTTACGATTTACAGATAAACCACAATGCTGCGCTTCAAAATTTTACCATCGCTTTTGTAAATAATTTTGTACTTTAAATTGTTTTAAGTTTATGAAACTTTCATTTACTTTTTGTGGTAATGTGAACACAGTAATATCAACCGCTATACAGCGGTATCCTTATTTTTTAATTACTATTTTTTATGTTTACTATTGTTTGTGTTGATGAGAAAAAGAAACTTTTCCATAATTTTGCAAATGAGGTTTTAATTTTATTTTGATTTGAAAGGTTTCTAATATAAATAGTTAATAAAGAGAATTTTTTTTTGTTTATTATATCTAAAAAAAATTGATATTAGGCAAGAGAATTTTTTAATGATAATTAAACTTATTTTTTTCAAGCAAGGATATCCTTTCTAAATATTGTCTTAAAAGGCTTTTTTATTACATCACCATTACATCATTGAATCATTATGTATTATTCAGTTATATATAAAAAAAATATTATATATATATAAATCTATAAAGTTCATGATTATTCAATTATAAATCTTAAAAGCAATAAATTAAAATGATTTCTTAAGTTAAAATAGATAATATATAATTATAAAAATGAAATGTATTTTAATTTTTTTTTTAAGTAAAATTTTAGTAAAAAATCTTAGCCAATGTTTTAGCTTTTTTAGAATTGGCGGTGGGTGGTGCCTAGTTGGTATACAATAACTTAAAAAAATTAAAAGATCTTGAATTTTTATTTACCTGAAATACTACGATTATTTAACTTAAGTGTTAATAATACAGCTAACATACAAAACGGGTTGAAATTTATCAAATAATGATTCGGCATAACTTGCAAATGTGCCACTTAAGTGTCCGTTAGTGTCTAATAGTCTCATTATTATGGTTAACTTTGGTTTACTTGGTAAACTTGGTTTCTTTCAACTTTCAATTTCATTATATACAACTAATTTAAATTAATTGAAATGAAAAAGTGTGAACGAAAAAGTAGCATAATAGAATATTCTCATAATTACACATATGACAATCTACATATGAAAATATGTACATTAAAGTAACGCGTGCATTATCTATATAAGATTCCGTTCCTTTTAGAATCTCTGTTTTACCAATGCCATTCTTTTTTTACTGCTATTCTATTATTTGGTTTGACAATATCAAAGCATTTTTTAAATTTAAAGCTTTGCTCGTGTAAGTTAAAACTTTGCAAGCATTTTTGCTATAATATATGTATCCAAAAAAAATTATTTTGTAATCAAAGAACTGCAAATTAGGAATATTTTGTTCCTAAGTTTTATTCCAAGAACTGCAACTTAGGAAAAAAGTAAGTTGTAAGTACAGAAAAAAGTAAGTTGCAACGTCTTTATCGCCGTCAGAAACATGCTACCCGTTTAATCTGCTTTACAAATCGCTTTTCTTACGCAAAACGTTATTTTATTGAAATGATAATTTTAAATATATACGAGCTAAATATATCAAATGTTTTAAGCTTTGTATACATGTGGAAAAATGACTTGTCTCAATTTGTCTTCAAAGATATTTTTACTCCGAAACCCATCAACAAATACAATTTGAGAAATACTGATTTTTTAAATGAACCTTTCTGTCAAACGAACTTTAATCAATTTTGTATTGCCTATCGGGCACCACACCTTTGGAATAAAATTGTTTTGCCCAATTTTGACTTCGAACTACCCATTACTTTTCGTTTTTTTAAAAGTAAATTAAAAACCCTAATTTTTTCATTAGATGACGTATTATGTTATTATTAATAATATGAATTAATAACTTTGCCTTTTCTTATTTACATTTGTAAAAAGTTTATTCTTACTTCTTTTGCTGATTTTATATTCTTTACTTAACGTAAACGTTTATATAAAATATTGGTGAGTAGATCCACTAGATTATATAATATATATTTGGATTATATATATGAAATTTGTAAAAATTTGATACTGTTAAGGCTTGTTCGAACTTATTTAAGGTTCTGACGACAAGATTCTTTGATCTTCTTTCAGATACCTTATTTTATATTTGTGAAAGTTTATTATTGTTATCATAATTTTTTTTTTGGCAATATGTAGTTGTAATAGGACCAACAAATGTAAAATTTAAAAAAAAAAAAAAAAAGGAATATTTAGAATATGACCACAAGGTCAACAACCTTTACTTGTGTTTTTATCAATCATTTGATTAACAATCAACTGGAATAGACATACTTTTGCCCTAAAGTTGTACTGAGCGTCGGTCGCAGTTGTTAGTCCTTACTTAGATTTTTTTAGAGATAATTAAATACATTCGTTCATATAACATTCAGACACTATTGACGCAACGCAACTTTATGATTAAACGAAATTAAATGTTAATCAAAACTATGCAAATGCAAAATAGTGAGTTAACTGAAAACAATTTAGAGAAAAATATTTATGATATTTCTTGCAAGTACATAAGATAACTTTAAAACTAGAGCTTCTACGTTGGAACACGACGTTTTTGCATTTTTGTTTTCTTTCCGAATAAAAAACTCGTGCGCAAACGCGCTTGACTCACTTCATGTGATAGTTTGCATACATAAACTCGCAATTTACGCAAATAATTGCGTTTACGCACGTATTTAGTGCATTTGAATGTGTTTACGCACATCTAATTAACATCTTACGTAATCTATTTATAATAAAATAATTAATTCATCCTTTATATGATAACGTAAACTAAACGTAACTTTTTCAAATAAAAAATCTCATATTCTATTTAAAATTAAAATTTGATGTGTAAAAAATAGTATAATTCATTAGCATTAAGTAAGTAATATATATATATATATATATATATATATATATATATATATATATATATATATATATATATATATATATATATATATATATATATATATATATATATATATATATATATATATATATATATATATATATATATATATATATATATATATATATATATATATATATATATATATTTATAACATATATATATTCATTCATATATATAACAAATTTTTAACGATTAGAACTTAAATTCTCTATTAATTCATCATCTCCATTAACACATTGCGTAAAAAAAGATTCGAAATGTTTCACGTAATTAGAAAGATTACGTTCGTTAATATGCTCACAACCGTTCCTCATTTGAATTTCTACTCATCCGTTTTTTTCACGGGAACGGGAAAGGGACGGGAAAAATAATCACGTGGATATGCGTAGTATAAGTTTTAATATGTCTGAAGGAAAACTACGCATGCTCACGTGATTATTTTTTCCTTTCCTATCCCGTTCCCGTGAAAAAACGGATGAGTGGAAACTCACCTTAATAAATCGTTATTTCCGATGCACAGCGAGTTTTTTGTGCCAAAATTATTTTCGTAGTTTTTTTTTTTTTTTTTAATAAAAATAGCTATATTTATATATAAAACGGTAACAAGGTAACAAACATGCAATTATATAAATATAAAAAATAATAATAAATTTTTTTTTTTGATGGACAAGACAACTTTTATCAGTGCAACATCAAAAATATTATTTTTTAATGCATGTATTTGTCATAAAATAACATTTTTGTATTTATATTTATATACAGAACTTCTACATTATAACAGTAATGAAATATTTTGTAGGTATTCTTTGTGTACAAAATATCTTTTTTTACATGTTCAGTATTTCTATTCAACTGACCATTAACCAAAGACCAATGTTTTGTTATAACTTTTTTTTATTGTAAAAAGTAGCAAAATATTTATGATGCATGGCTATTTACATACATTTAGCATTAGATTTACATCATCAAATGTTTAGAGGATATTGGAGGGTGGTTTATCTGATACCTAACAGTAATGGTTAGTAGTAAAAAAATATCCAAAACTGTCTGTTTTTGATGCAGGATTTCACTTACGTTAAATTTTTTTTAAAAGCCTGAGCGTAAAAAACAATGTTAAATAAAATAATATTTGAAATCAAATGAAAATCAATAAAATTAGTTTAAAATAATAGTAGCGTAAGAAAGTTGATAAATAAAAAATGCAAAATAGCGTTTTGGAACACATTTTTTTTTTTTTTTTTTTTTTTTTTTAACATCTTCACTTCCAACAAGGCTGCAAGCAACCACTATAAGAGTTGGAAGTTACTGGAAGAGAAAAGACTAAATCTGTAGAGCAAGATAACGATTGACTGATGACTTAAAAGATTGCAAATTATATGAATCAGGAAAGCAAGATGAAGGAAGCGAATTCCAAAGAACTGATGTTTGAGGAAAAAAACTAGAAGAATAAGAGTT